CCCGCCGTTGCGCGTTTCGCCCTGCATCTTTGACGGCACGCCATTCACGGGGAAGCGCCCGCACCAGGGCAGCCCGCCCCCGCTGCCGCCGAGATGCTGCTGACAGGGCCTGGCCTTACCTGGCCCGGCCCACGCTCAAGTTGGCGGTTGCGTTGGCGCATTTTCGGCCATTTTCAAGCAGTAAGCCGCGCTTCTGGCAGGTGCAGGAGCGCGAGCCGTTCTTTTAGTAGCAGCAGGTCAGGCATCTCTGGTCGAATAGTGCACTGTAACATGTACATGTTTCAATGGAGCGATGCAGCAGTGTTGCGGCTGTAAGGGCGCCGCTGATGCCGCGTCTCCCTGGTGCAGAAGCGTGGGAGGCAGGTAGGGGCCGGCCACCCAGAGGATGACGTCACACTCTGGAAAGAAAAGGTCGTAGGGCGGTCGTCGCGCCGCAGCAGCCGTCATCTCATGGTCCTGTGAACGGTGGGCGTCCGAGCGGCGCCGCGGTTTCACTCAAAGGAGGCCCATTTTTGGCCCGCCCAGGGGCGTCCTGTTTGCGCACACAGCCGCGGCTCAGCGTGCGCAGCGGCCCGCTGCCACGCGGTCGGGATCCGAAGCTGTGGGTGCAGACGCCTGCCTATGCTGCCTGCGAGCTGCGCGTGCTTGACTATGAGACCCCTTTGCCCCCCCTCCAGAAGAGACTCATGCAACACGCCCCCCCCCACATACACACCCACACACCCACACACGTGCGTGCGCGCAAACAGGCTTCCTTCACCAAGTCTGCTCAAGACTGGCCGGGTGCACGCGCCCTGCAATCACACTTCCCAAAATGGCTCAAGCCATTACATGAGCCATTACATGACATTACATGAGTCATAACATGAGCTATGACATGACATCATATGAGTATTGAAGGGGCTTGCGGCGCATGTTGCCGCCCTTCTCTGCTGCTGCGCTTCTGAAGGGCCAGTCACAAGCTCGCACGGCAGGTCATCGGCACGCAGGCGTGTTGCCGGGCCCCAGGCGTGGTGGGGCATGCCCGTGAGGTTGTGTTGATGCTGCACAACTTTTGAGGGCGCTGCTCAGTGCGAGTGGGCCCGGAAATTTGAAACAGCCACACACCTGGGTGAGCCCGCGTCAGTATGGGGGGGCTCGGCGGCGTGCAGCGGCACTTGTTATCAGGAATTGGCGGAAGAGGCTGCAGGGATAGACTGGAACGCCGCCGCCCAACATGACAAACATCACACGTGCAGGAGCAGGCAGCGAGTACCCCGGCGGATGCCGCAATGGCGAATAACCTACATGCTGGATGGATGCAGCGGCTGAGAGAATTAACCCTCCTTGCTTGACCAGGGGGAGAGGGGCGTCCCAATGCAGACATGGGGGAGGCAACGATTCACGCACCCACCTCACAACCATGACCGCAGCGCAGCGCTGCAGCTGCCAGGGGGCGATCTGCCCAGCCAACAGCCGGCCTGGGATATGTGCACCTCCCCCCAAAAGAAGTCAATTGTACAGCTAGGAAAGAAGTTTGATCGAGCACGACGGTCCGCGCTGGCGGGCTGCATTCCTGTGCAGTTTTTGCTGCTACAACCCCGTCCAGAGGCAAACAAAGTTAGCCCCCGAAAAGGCGCCGGCCGCGCCGCCGCCGGCGCTGGCTGCTGCGGCGGCCCTTTTTCAAAACGGGGATGTGCTTCGGCGCCCTGCAATGGCGGGGAGTTGAGGGGGGGGGGCAGAGGCGTCGGCGGCCGCGTCAGCGCCGGGGCAAGCGTTGCGCATGGCGGAAGCGTGAAGAGCAAGGCTGCGCGTCGCTCCTGACCCGCGGGTCAGCTGGTTCGCTCTTGTCCCCTTCCCTTGCAAGATAAAACGTAGCAAGTCGGCGCCCAGCCGCACCACCACCATTCCGCCCCGGCGCGCGAACGCGGCCCCAATTTCCGGATTTCGGGCCTTCGCACGAATGCAGCGCGGCTCACCACTCGTTCGTCCACTTGAGAGCAGCATCCATGGACCGCCAGACGGCGTAGCCCGCGGTCATGTTGAGCGGCACCGCCAGCATCGGCGCCTTCGGCTTGTTCCACCAGCCTGCGCCGCGCCGCGCGCCGCGGGCCGCGGTGGTGGGAGGCAAGTGAAGGGTTGCGTGTCAGCCGGGCGGTGCCCGGTGCTCGGGCCGACTCGACCGGCGGGGAGGAGCCCCCAGACGGCGGCGGGGCATCGCGTCTCGCAGGCAGGGGCTTTGCGCCCACGCGATGCCATGTCCCGAGCAGGAGATCCCGTCCCCCCGACAACCCCTCAGCGATCCACCCCTGAAGCGGCTCGATCAGCCGCATGTGTCGTCATCGCCGTCGACGCATGACACGTCTCACCGTCAACCAGGTCGTCCCATTTCGAGTTTATGACCAGCCTCATCGGGTTGTCCATCAGCCCGCTGTCCTTTATCAGCGCCGCCCCCGCATCCCCGTACTCCGCCCTCAGCATGCCGTCGCACGCCGCCTCGAGCCGCAGCTGCCTGCGGACAGGTTGTCATGAGGCGGCCGCAGGCGGGAGGGGAGGGGTCACGACAAGCGCTGAAATGCATAGGAGGGCGGCGCCTGCCAGGGCTTGTCCCGCCAATGCTGCACCCACCACAGGCTGTAATGCGGTACGAAAAATGTGATCAAGGTGCCGGACAGCCCACACGCGTCAAAGCTTTGAGTATGACCCCAGCGCCACCAGCGGCCGACATAAGCTCAAGCTCTGGGTGAGATCAGATATTCAGATTGCGTGAGCTATCAGATCGTGAGATCACCTGTCTGTTGGGATCCCGTGGGTCCTGAGGGTCCAATAGGCGGCCCAGGCCAGCAGCGGGCACGCCTGGCTCGGGGGCGCCGTGTCGATGAGCTGGGTCACGTTGAAGGGGGTCACCTATGGCGGGGCAAGGGGGCAAGGGGGAAGGGCAGGAAGGGTGATGTGAGCGTGTTATTGAGGGACGGCCCGCGCCCGCTTGGGGGGGGGGGGCGCTTGGCAGGTGTGTGGGTGTTGGCGGCTGGAAGACACTGGATGAAAAGCACCAACCGTCAAGCTTTGATGGTTCCGTGTTGCAGCAAAACGCAAGTGCTGAGACCCGCGCAGCCGTGCGCCCTACTTCCCCCATCAATCCAAGCGGCGTCCCAAGACACCTATCATCCGCATCAGCATGCTGTAGCTTCGCGCTCCTCAAGCCACACTGCCGTTGGGCGACCCTGCGCCCCCCCTCCTCAGCAGCTCTTGCTGCATCCAATCGGCTTGGCATGCAGGGCCCGCGAGGGATGTGCACTGCCTGCCGCGCCCATGCTCACGTGCAACGTGTACTGCAGCTTGTCGGAAGGGCCCAGGCCCATGTAATACGTCGTCCATGACATGGGCATGGGCGGCGTGATCACCTCGTCCTGCGGTCAAACGCGGTCAAATGCGGTCAAACATGGTCCAACTTGGTGGGTCAGGGGGCCGGGACGCACGGTCGACGTGCAATCAGACGTGCGTCGCAATGGCGTATGAGAGGGCGGGCGGGCGGGGCGG